CCGCCTACCCTTGATAAGGAAGAGATACCATGACGATACAGGTCTCTCCCCAACGAGCGAGGAGGACGAACGGGGAGACGATGGCCGCGTGATACGTCGCGGTCGAGCTCCCCGCCCCTCACCAGACCGTGCGCGAGCCCGCTCTAGCGGTGCTCGTTCGAGCGGTGTTCAGCGCCCTCATCCTCCTGATGCGGGGGCCACGAGGGGCCCGCCACGGCAGGCGACAAGAGCGCATGCACCCCCATGGAAGGACCGTCTGCGGGGAAACCCGCCTCATGATGACCAGCATCGAGGAGGGGAGTATCCAGGAGGTGAAGTGCAGCGTTTGAGAGGCCACGCTGAAGCTGGACTGGCTCGTCAGCACATGCCCGCAAACCAGATGGAATACTGGTTGGAAAGGGGTTGGGCCGAGCGTCGCATCCGGCACTGGTATTCTCTTTGTCAGTGCAAACGAGATGATGCAGGTATTTCATTCGTTCAGAGGCGGGTCAAACCGAATCGCAGGAAAAGATGGTCAAGCGCGATCTCAAAAGGGCCACCATCGAGGATCGAAAGCTCTACAGAGGCGTTTGCTGCACATGCCCCAGTTATGCTGATCACTGGCTCGGCTGCCCCATGAGACGCCCATCAAGAAGCCCGAATTTCAAAAAGACACCGTGGGTTTGGTCTCATGGGGATGGTCGGTCTCGCTGTGCTGACCTCAGCATTGCGCCATATCTTGAGCGGCTGACGGAAAACGATTCGGACCCCGCCACTCGTGGAGAGATAGCTCAGACAGATGCCATTTGGCAGAACTTGATACCTACTCACCCTTTGGCGCAGTTCAATCGCGAGCGGCACGCGGGGAGACCTGCTGATCCTAAATCAGATGGCGAAGGCCAACAAAAGCTGGTGAATATGAAGATGATGAAATGGCTGAAGAAGTTGATCCTGTGAACGACACGCGCGATGCGGATGCTCCGATCGACCCCCGAGGGCGCTGTCACAAGAGATATGGATCTATCTCCTGGGAGGCAGATTGTTTACCGTGCTCAGTTTATTTGTTGGATAAAGACACGCATCGTCGGACGACGGAACGCCGATAAGTACTTAGTTGCGCAGAAAAACAACGCACCTATTAATAATATGGCCCTCAGGAAGCCAGGTGGCATCGATCTGAATCCTGACCGAGGTCCCATGCGATTTGCACTTGGGACGCCGGCAGGAGCTACGGCAAAGGCAACTCCCACGCCGAAGCCAGGGATGATCGATCTTCCCTCGTCTTCTGATTCATCATGCCAATCTCTTGGCCCTGGTCATCTTCAGCTCAAGGGAAAGAAGAGGGGGGGCCCAGATGATCCCAACCCTGGGGGCAGCAAGCAGCAGCGACATGCGGGGCAACCTGCTGATCGACAGCATTCCAGAGGGCCAGCAGCGGCCGCCGCGGCAGCTAGAATTCAGGGCACCAGTACGCCTACTCCAAAAGAACTTGTGCCACGTCGCGGCCCTGCACCACGTCGGACGCACGGGGCAGGATGGGCGCCTGCGCTGGAAGGGAGGACAAGGGGCGCTTCCTCCACGCAACGCACTGAGAAGCTCCTTGCTACCACGCCAAAGGTGCCAGGAGCAGTGCCCAGAGACAAGACTGCCGAGTCCTACAACATCAAGGAGAAGAAGCACCAGGACTTCGATATCAGTACCCCGCAGGGAACTCCAAGGACGCCCAGAGGATCTGCGGGCGCTACCGCATCGGCAGCGAGCGCAGCAGCGCCTGCCGCGCCAATGGCTGCCCCACGTTCTGCGGGGCAACCTGCTCAGATTTCTGCGGGGCAACCTGCTCAGAGTTCAGCGGGGCAACCTGCCCCCTGCGTTGGAGGTACCACCGGGATGTGAGGAGTTCTGGGACAGGATGCGCACTTCCCACCGCACGAAGATCAATCCAGCGTATCACCCGCGGATTGACAATGGATCTGATCGATGCATGGTGGTGCAGTGCGTCGTCATGGACATTTGTGTCCATGCTGACCAAGGTGCACACACGCGCCAAACAGTGCGCAACATCCCGCAGAAACGCCCAGCGTTCGACGAAACAAAATACCCGAAAAGTAATCAAAACATCGTCCAAAGATAGCCGAGGGATTTTTAGTATGTTTTGATCATTTTGGGGCATTTTTGTACATTTTCATTTTTCGCCCAACATCCCCCTGTAGGGGGACAGGCCCGACTGAAGCGAAAGTCTCAGTTCCCCGTTTTCTGCAGGGGCCAGGGCGGAAGTGCGCCTCGCCATTTTCGGCGCCCGTCGGTATCGGTTAATTAACCGACCCCCCTCCCCATCGCCCCCCCCTTCGTGACCCCCGCCAGATCGCCGCCCCACATTGGGGATACGCCCCTCGAAAGCCGAAGGGAACGGCCTATGTCCCCATCTGGGGGGTGGGAATCGGCCAGTGGGGCCCAGGCCACGCCGCTGGGGATGGGGATCGGTTAAACGATACTCGATCCGGGTACTGCCCTCGGGCTCCGAGCCTAACACAAAAACGACCCGGGGCGAAACGCCGCCCCCCGAAAAGACGTCGGGGGGGTGCGGGTTCGCATCTCGGGGGCCGTTCGGGCCCCCTCTGGGCTCTCTTGGCGCCCTCCTTGCGGCCTGGCATGACTCTCTTGTGACCGGGTTGGCAAACATCGATCAAAGAAGGAGAGGTCCTGCAGGGTCCGGCTTGACTACGGAACGCGCGTTTTTCGAAAAGGGGCTCGATCGTACCTCTGGTTTGCATGCGTTCTGCTACCTTTTTGGCGGCGCCCCCCCCTGGTGTTTCTTTGGACTCCGTAGAGTTACTTTGAACAAAAGCGGCCTCGTTCCTTATTTATCGTTCCTTAGGTCAGGCCGAATCCTGTAGTTAACGCTGCCCCCCTGGAGCGCAAACATCCCCGCGTGGAGCGGGGAAGAATGAAGACAAAGAGGCGAATGCCTCGCAGGGGCTCTGTTGGGGCTTCCTGGGGACCTGTTGGGGGCCTGTGGAGGGGCCGCGCGGAGGCCCACGCGGGCCCTCGTAGGGGGCCTCTTGGGGGCCTCCGGGGCAGTCTTCGGGGGGCTGCTGGCCGGCGTGACGCCGTCGGATGCCGCCTTGGGGGCCCCGCTGGGCTGTGCTGGTGCCCTCTTGGCACGCATTAGGTGGGACGCACAGAGACATACTGATACGATATGTCCTCCTTGGAGGCGCGCGTCCGACCCGAATATATATATATATATATATATATATATACATAATGCCCATATTGTAGAATACCGTTTCGCGAGCGGTGCGGCCAGAAAGTGCCCGCCACGACGCATATACGCAGCACCCCGCAGTTGCGGATAAGAGTGAGGGGCAGCGGGGACGTCGGCAGTATGCGAGGCTTTGCAGAAGCCTGCCGCAGGCGCAATATTTTCAAGCTAAACAACGAGCCCGCCTCATGCGCCGATTTTTTGTTAAAAACATTGTCGTTTTTTTGTTCTCCCCTTCTTGGCGTTTTTTTTTCTCCCCCTTCTCCCCCCCCAAAGAGGCGCCACAGGAGGAATGTGCACAACTGCCGTCCACGAGGGGGGGGGGAGGGAGTTCCGTCCCTTCTCCGCCGCCTCCTCCTGTCCTTTACTCCCTCCCCTTCTCTGTCTCAGTACTCCCCTCGTCGTCCCCTCCCTCGCCTCTCCTCTCCTCGTCGCTCCCTCCTCCTTCGCCTTTCCCCTTCCTTTCCGCGCCCCCGCAAAAACGCCACCCCAGAATCACCCGTACTGGCCACTTGAGGTTTCTTGGGCCGTCTTAGGGGTTTCTTGGCCTTTCCTCTGACGCCTTCGGATATCGTCTTGGTTGGGGGCATGTCTGGCCCTCTTGGCGCCCTCTTGGGGACCTTTACGACCCTCTCGGTAGACTCCCGCGCGATCTTTGGGCCCTCTGGGGCCGATTCGGGGCCTTGTTGGGGTGCGTCCTGGGCTATATTGGAGCTATCTTGAGAGCCTCTTGGATGCCTCTTGGGCCGTCTTGGGCGGTCGAATCTCCAGACAGGCGAGAGCCTCAACATCTATCAATGATCCGGGCGAAGGTCAACCCTATGCACTTGTGGGTGCCGCGTTGTGGCACCGCTTTCGGTGGAGCTCCCTATGAGGCCACGAGGCGTGCTAGGAGTGTGCCGAAATGGGCGGGGAACCGCATGCGAACCCCGCCACTGATGCAAACGTTGGAGCTCCCTATGGGGCCACGAAGTGTGTGAGGGGTGTGCCGGTATGGGCGGGAAACTTCATGATAATTTTGCCACTGGGCTTTCGGTGGGGCTCCCTACGGGGCCGCGAAGTGTGTGGGGTGTGTGCCGACATGGGCGGGGAACCGCGTGCGAACTTTGCCACTGAGGTCGTCGGTGAGGGGTGTGCCGAAGTGGGCGGGGAACCGCATGCGAGCTTTGCCACTGGGGCCTTCAGTAGCCCCCCGTGGGGCCTCGGGACGTGTGGGGGTGTACTGAAATGTGCTGGGAACCGCATGCGATCTGTGCCACGGGTGCCTTCGGTGGGGCTCCCTATGGGGCCACGAAGCGTGTGAGGGGTGTGCCGAAACAGTGGCGCGCGGAGGGGAAAGGCAGGGGATCGGAGGAGGGAGGGCGAGGAGGAGGAAGGAGGAGAGGGGACCGGGGGCGGTGTCTCTTCAAAACGAAGACCCAGCACCACATGATGGTCGGGAAACAATTTCGTAGACAACAGGCGAGCATTCTAACGCCCACTCCGTGCAGGCACGGTGGCGGATACTCAACACAGGACCCTCAATGATCTGGGGACCCAACAGAGCCCAACAAGCTGGGCCATCATGGGGCGCCCGCAATAAGGTCCCTCCCCATTGCGCACCAGGGCAAGAACCAGACATCCCAACAAACTTGACCATCTTAAGGCACGCTGGACCCCCGTTGGCCACATCGCGCCGCGGGCTTCCTGGGGTTGGCCAGAATCGTCCGTTCTGGCGTCATTTGGCTGGGGGGGAAGAGAGGATGACGTCGACGACGTGGAGGCTCATCCGCAGCGACCAGCTCAAGTTTTCGTCCCGATTTACCCGCTCTGTTCCGCACGTCGCTTCCGCGAGCCTCCTCTGGCCTTCCTGCGATCGGCCATGGCGTTCGGCAGCTCCCTCCGATTGCTCCTGCTGCAGATCCCGCTGAGCCTGGGCTTCAACAGGACGGCGCCCAAGAGGCAGCTTCGGGGCCTCCTCTCCGACACGATCTACTGCAACCCTTACCTGCAGCAGATGTGCCCCCCAGGTGACGTGGCGTGCCCGCAGTGTGGTTCGGACAGGTGCGAGTGCCCCGGCAGCCCAGGTCCGAGCCCCAGCCCAGACACCAAGTGCAGCTGGGAGGAGCACGTGAACAGCGACGGCAACAATTTGCTGCAAGCTCCCTGGTCCCAGGACCCGCAGGCGTGCTGCAACCACTGCGGCGAGCAGTCGGGGTGCGCGGCGTGGACCTTCATTCAGGGCAGCCACGAGTGCTGGTTGAAGAGCTGGGTGCCGTCTAGGGACCAGTGGCGCTGGGACGACTCGGCCATCAGCGGCCAAATCGGGGCGCCGAGCTTCCAAGCGGCCCTTGATGCGCCAAGCAACAGTTCGCTCCAGGGCCTCCTCTCCGAGACGATCTACTGCAACCCCTACCTGCAGCAGATGTGCCCCCCAGGTGACGTGGCGTGCCCGCACTGTGGTTCGGACAGGTGCGAGTGCCCTGGCAGCCCAAGTCCGAGCCCCAGCCCAGACACCAAGTGCAGCTGGGAGGAGCACGTGAACAGCGACGGCAACAATTTGCTGCAAGCTCCCTGGTCCCAGGACCCGCAGGCGTGCTGCAACCACTGCGGCGAGCAGTCGGGGTGCGCGGCGTGGACCTTCATTTTGGGCAGCCACGAGTGCTGGTTGAAGAGCTGGGTGCCGTCTAGGGACCAGTGGCGCTGGGACGACTCGGCCATCAGCGGCATACTGGGAGGTCGGTGACCTTCTGCAATTTGGGTGTGGCCTGCGCACAATACTGCAACCGTGCTGGTTCATCTGGTCCGCCACCGTCTGTTGGCGTGCCAGGCTTGCCAGTGCCAATAGAGCGCTGGAAGTACAGTGTGCATGGTTGAGGAGGCGCTCCGCCGTCTGCGCCCCCCCTCGTCGAAAGTTCCGGTTGCCTTTGGCACGTCTTGCCATTTCGCGCCACGTCGCGTTGACATTGCCATCATCCCATCCAGGACCGATGCCCAGGTTTGTGGAGAGACTGTAAGTTTATGACCACATGGAGCAGCGAAGAGGTCAACAATCAGCAATTGACGCGTCGCGTACCCCCATTCGCCCAGACAGCAGCGATGTCCAGGCGAGTCGCCTTGACCAGGGAGGTGTAGAAACATGCAGTGCAAGAAAGAATGAGGAGAAGCCGTGAAAACGATTTTTTTGATCAGCCTGAGCATACCCATGTGTGCACCTAATATTTGTTCGCGGGCCTGTCGAACGAGGCGTAGGAGGGGGACAAGGATAAGGATGATGATGATGATGATGATGATGATGATGATGATGATGATGCTGCTGATGATGATGATGATGCTGACGATGACGATGATGATTCCAATCATATTGCTGCTACTGATGATGGTGATAGTGAGTATGATGATGATGAAGATGACAATGGCGATGGCGATGGTGATGATGATGCTGATTTTGACGGTGATAATGCCGATAACGATGATGACGACGATGCTGGTAAATATGATGACTAAGACGATGCTGATGATGCTGATGATGCTGATGAGGGCGATTATTCGGATGATGGGGACGATGATCATGCTGATGCTGATGCTGCTGTTGCTTCTTCTGATGTTGATGCTGCTGATTGATGCTGGTGATGTTGATGTTGTTGATGATGCTGATGATGATGTCGTCCACGATGGTGCTGAAGATGCTGCTGCGGATGATGCTGATCATGACGACGACGGCGATGCTGATGATGCTCATGATGATGGCGATGGCTATGTTGATGCTGGGGATGTTGATAATGACGGTGACGGTGATGATGAGGTTTCTGATGATGCGGATGATGGTGTTGGTGATCCTGATAATGATGATGGTGTTCATGACGATACTGGTGTTAAGGAAAAGGAAGATGAATATAATGCGGAACGAGGATGAGAAGGATGAACAGGAGAAACCAGGATGGAAAAAAGGAACAGGAGAATGAGGAGGACGAGCTGACGGAATGTGAGTTTGACGGAAAACGCCCCCCACTTAATTTATTGTGAATCTTAGGTGGGAGGAGGAGGAGGAGGGGGAGGAGGAGGAGGAGGAGGAGGAGGAGGAGAGAAAGACGACGAGGAGGAGGAGGAGGAGGATTTTGTTGGAGGAGGAGGAGGAGGAGGAAAAAGGAGGAAAAGGAGGAGGAGTTGGAAGACGAGGATCCGAAAGGAAAAATGCGACGGCGACGACGACGACGATTCAACCAGAAAAGGCCTTCGCTGATGCAGACCTTTCGTCCTGTTAGCCTCTTGGAGCCCTCTTGGAGCCCTCTGTGGGCTGTTTCGAGGACCGTTGAGGCCATCTTGTGGCTCTCTTGGGGCTCCCTTGGGACCAGCTTGGAAACCATCGATCAAAAAAGGAGAGGTCCTTGTGAACCCTGCCCCCCTGGAGCGCCAACATATCCGCGCGAAGCGGGAGAACATGAAGACAAGGAGGAGAAGGCCTCTCAGGGGCTCTCTGGGGGTTTCCCGGGGACCTGCTAGAGGCCTCTTTGGGCCTTTTGAGGGCCTCGTGGGACCTCTTGGGCAGTCTCAGGGGGGCTCTTGGCGCGTGTGACGCCGTCGGAGGCCGTCTTGGGGGCCTATCTGGGCCCTCTTGATGCCCTCTTGGAGCGCTTTGAGGCCGTCTTGGGGCCCTCATGGGAGACTCTTGGGCGATCTTGGGGTCCTGTTGGGCCGACTTGGGGCCCTCTTTGGGGGGGCTTCATGGGCTGTCTTGGAGCTATATTGGAGGCATGTTGGACCGGTTTGGACGGTCGGAAACCCAGAGGCGAGGACTTCAACATCATTGAACAAATTAGCGGCAATCAATGTGTCTTGCCTCCTCGGGGGCCTCTTTGGGGCCTCTGGGGGACGTCGTCTTGGGGTAATATTTTGGGGCCTCTGGCGTCAGGGCCACCGCAAGCGCGCCGCCGTCGACGAAGGAAGAAAAACGCAAAGGACAGGCAAAGGGGGGAGGAGGACCAGGAGGCCTGATGGGGCGCAATGGGACATCGGACGCGGCGGTGGCGGGGCCTGTCCTCGAGAGCAGTAGCGGCGGCCTGTGCAGTCGAGCAGTAATTAACCTCTCCACTTCTTCGGTCCACTCGATCTGCGCCCGCACCGCTTCCAGCACGTCGATCCTGATCTTCTCGTTGTCCGTCAGCTCGCTCGACTGGTCGGCCGCCATCGCGAGCGTCGCGCTCTGCGCGCGCATCACAGGCCAGGGCGCCGCTGAGCTTCTTTTGCGGTGGGTCCTGCGGGAGCTGCGCCAAGATCCTCGTGAGGCCCGTCGTCGCGTCCATGATGGAGCCCGTGTTGTTCGCGTGCATCTCTGCGGGCTGAATGCCCTCCCACGTGCGTTCCCCCGACCTGATGGGCGGTGTGGGCGGGCTGTCTGGCAAGGTGTGCGCCCTCAGGCGTCTCCCTGTCGATGCCGTGTTCAGTCCCCTGTCCGTGATGCTGGGCAGCTTGTTGAAAGTCTCTTGGTACTGCGAATCTGAGCGGTGGTTCTGGTGCTGCGGTGGTTCTGGTGCTGGTGGTTCGGTTCTGGTTCTGGTTCTGCGGTGGTTTTGGTGCTGCGGTCTCCTGGCAGTGCTGCGGTGGTTCTGGTGCTGCGCTCGATGGTCTCTCTGCTCGTCGTTCGCGTCTCCCTCCTGTTTTACCTTTTCTCCTTGTCCGTGTCCTGGCCATCCCTGGCTCGCATGCCCGTGCCGCTGCTGTGAGGACCAAAAAGGCGTCACGTCTCCTCGAACAGCTCGAGTCGATACCATACAGTGCGCGGCTTGAGTAAGGAACCCTTTTCGTTGGGGAGGGGCTTCGTGTTCCTTAAGTGTTTCACAGCTTGCCTCAGGTTTTCCTTATGTATTCGACAGGAAATCGAAGGTTCACTGATGGAAGAAAGGGGCCTCGTTCCTTATTTAGGGTTCCTTAGGTTAACGCCCCGACTGTACGCACAATACGGCGCTGGCGCCAGTGGTTGCCCCTTTGCCCGTCCAGTATCCATCCATTCGCCATAGCCATCATAGTAATGCGCCCTGCTCTCCCGTTCGCAAGGCCCACTGGGGCCTGCAGGCAGGCATCTCCCTCTAGGGGAAACCATGCCGTGCCGTGGCAGGTTCATTGTTGGGGGGGGTCCCCCTCTCCCTGCTAGTGAGCTGCGCTGGCATGCTCTGCGCTTGGCATGCTCTGCGCTCGGCACGGTGTTGCAATGGTTGCTGGTGCAAGTGTTTCCCGCTTCCACTCTTCGTTGCAAGTTCTCGGAGCCTCGTGAGCCGCTCGGGATCCTGACGGACTTCTCTGGCTGCCTCTTTCCTGCTTTCGCGCAGGCCCCTCCAGGCTTTTCTCGAGACCTTGGCTGGCGCCCTGGGTGCCCCCCGAAGAAGATTCAGGAGAAACAAAAAACACACACAGACACAATTCATCCTCGACTCCCCAGAAAATATGGGAAACTATGAGAAATGGGGGGGAAGACAGAAACCCAGAAAATATGAGAAAATATGGGGAATATTTTTATGTGCGTGTATTTGTTTGTGTGTCCTGGGTCCCCTTCAAAGGTGGGGGCCGCCGTGCTCGCGGGAGCTCGTGGTCTGCCGTCGCGCCCTCTGGTCGGGCTGCCTGCGCTTCACTTCTCCTCGGTGCGCCGCAGCTGCCTCTCCACCGCGCGCTCGGGCCCTGCCCGCGGGCCGTGGCGCGTCGCCCTCGCCCCCCCCGGGCTCGGCGAGGCAGGGGCCCACCGCCTGCCTGAAGTGCTGCGGGTCGAACTGGTCCAGCCGCTCGAGCTCCTGTTCTGCCGCCCGCTTGTCCTCCGGCGCCAGGCGGAGCCGCGGGGGTTGTTGAAGGCTAGCGCGGCCCTGCATTTCCACATGCTGCGCGTTGGCTGCTTTGTGCTCTAAGCCTTCCTTTCTCGCGCTCTCTCTGCACGCCTCGCTCTCGTCTTGCAGGGGGGGTTGGCGGGGGGGGGGGGGCGGTTCCCATCGTCATCGCTTGCCCGCGCTGGCCGTTCGCGATTTGGTGCCATTCCCTTCCCTGGCGATGTTCAGGGACCGCGCGATGTTCTTCTCCAGAGACCCCTGCGCCGTCGTCTCTGTCAGCTCGTGGAACGGGCTCTCGATCATTGCCATCGCGATGTGCGCGTGCGCGGGGGTCCTGGCTTGCGTCCTCTATCTGCACTGTGCGCCTTCTGCCCGCGCAGCTTGCCTGCCTTTTGGGCCGCCATGGACGCGCGCACGACTATTGGAATGAGCCGGAAATCTGCGGCGGCGCGCAATGCATCGCGCGTCTCCTGAGCCGTCTTCAGGGTCAGCCTCTGCAGTCTCTGGGGCGCCGTCGAGCAGTCTTCCCGCGTTATGGCCGCGCACGTGCCTCTGCGGTTCGCCGAGGCTTCGGGCCTCAACGTCGCAGATCGAACGCGCTGTCGAGTCTGCCTCTGCAGCGGGGGAATCACATGTGCTGTTGGTGCGACAGCAATTGCCATGGCCTGCACATGCTCTCGTAGCGCGGTCTGCTGCAAGTCTCCTGTCTGCGCACGTGCATGGACACCGGGGGCAGTGGTTTTTGCCACTGTAAGGTTGTCAATCAACGGGGCGCATTTCTGGGTATCTGTCTGCCCCAGACTGGATGGGGGTGGGGCGCTTTCGGCTTTCAAAGGGCGTGAATCGGTCCTTCCTGCACTCCTCTTCCTTTTCTCCTTCCTCCTCGGGGAAAGAAAAAACCCTCCTGCCCCGCCCCCTTCGTTCTCTTCGCGGCCTCGGGCCGTCCGGCAACAAAGAACATAACTAACAGGAATCAGAGGAACATATGCAAGAACTGCAATGTTCTAGTAGAAAACAGACAGCAATGATAATCCTTGCAAAACTTTGCGTTTATTATCAACCCTCTGGTGGTGTTGGGTCCTCGTTTTGAAGAGACAGTGCCCCGCGTCTCTCCTCCTCCTCCTCTCCTCCTCCCCCTCCTCCCTCCTCCCCCTCATTGCCTCTACCCTCCGCATGTCTCTCTGTCGGCGCACTCCTCACACGTTTCGTGGCCCCATAGGGAGCTCCACCGATGGTCCCAGTGGCAGAACTCGCATGGCGGCCTCGCCCCATTTTGGCACACACACCTCACATGTTTCGGGGCCCCAAAGGGCGCTCCACCTAAGGTCGCGCTGGCAGAACTCGCATGGCGGCCTCACCCCATGTTGGCAGACCCCTCACGCGCTTCGTGGCCCCATAGTGAGCTCCACCTTTGGTCCC